CGTGGGGCGGACCGAAGAGGACAGCGACAAGGACGGTCGACTGTCTGAAAACGGCGAAGCGGATGGGTAAGTAGAGGGAGAAGAGGCCATGGGTTGCTGCCTCTTCTTTTCCTTTCTTTCCTTTTTCTTTTTTGTATTTTTATCAATCAATAAAACACTTTTCAAACTCTATTTCAAACTTGTCTTTATTCATTCTCAATCATCCAACAATACAAAGGTTTACAAATAGAAACAAAGTCCTCGGCTAAGATAGCCAAAGACTGCTGGTGATGATGATGATGATGATGATTCGGTGGTGATGCCATCCTCGACTTGCTCGTTGTCGTCCATCCTCTTGGCCATCTTCAAAGTCCGTTGCTCTGCCAGGCAGGCAGATGATGGTGATGATGATGATGATAATGTTGCTTCGGTGATGCCATCCTCGACTTGCTTGTTGTCGTCCACCTTCTAAGCCATCCTCAAAGTCCGTCGCTCCGCCAGGCAGTCGTCCTCTTGTCAGTAGGAAGTTGATGGCGGTGATGTTGGGCACTGTTTGAGAGCGCCAGAGAGATCTGAAAAGAAAAACAAAAACAAAAAAGTTACACAAAATATCGAGAACTGAAACAACAACAACCAAAATACTTATCTGAAAAAGTCGCCGAGGATGGAGGAGATGAGATGATGATCGAGGAGACGGGCGCTGGTGAGGTGAAAGCCATCGCCAAGGAGAGCAGCAGTCTTGAAGCGGGCCAATGTCTGGCCGATGTTTCCAGAGCAGAGCCAGTCCACTGGCAGACAGCGATCAGAGACGACGACGACGACGACGACGACGACGTGAGGACGACGTCTGCTCTGGTCGGTGTCTGCCAGTGGACTGAGACTGCTCTGGCAGCACTGTACATCTGAAAGAGAAAGCTAGCGCCCTCAGCACTGTCATCACCACTGTAATCACCACCACCACTCATCGAGTGCCACTCATCAGTTGACCCCTGAGAGCGCCTTTTTTTAACCACTGGGCGCTGAAGGAGGATTTAAAAAGGATTCTCGTTGTACATTTGTTTGCTTTTAAAGTTATTTTTAATTTAAAATCATATTTGGCAATAATTTATACTACACAACAGCAAGAAGAAGGGTAATGTGCAACATGTACATGATAAAGAAGGGGTGATAGAGAACGATGAGAGAGAGAGAGAGAGAAAAGGGGAGGGTAAAAGAAGAGGAGGAAGAGTGGGAGGAAGTACTTACAGCCCAAAGAAGGGTAGTGCAGTGCAGTGCGGTGCGCAGCATCATCAGCACTTTGGTGCCCACTGATGATCACCACCATCACTACACATCACCACAAATTTAAGGCGTACATCTTTTCAATCGAATCGGCGTAAAACTTCTGAATGTTTCGGCGGTTGATCTTCATGCTGGCGGTGAGAATCATCAGTTTTTTAATTTTCTTAATTGATTTTAAAAATTTTTATTTTTAGATTTATATGGAGCCACGGTAAAAAACTAATGACTGAATGTGTCCACAAAAACTTACAATTTTTGTCAAGCTAAAAGTTTCCGTCATCCTCGCCGTCATCAGAGCCAAAGTCGTTCTCCGTCTGAATCTCCATCTTCTGGACAATCAACCGCAACAGCTCCAGCTGCAACTCAGAGTGCCTCGCCAGATCGCGTAATCTAAGTGCACAATGTGGACAATTGTGTGTTTGTCAGATTTTTACAATGTTAACTCCTCAACAACAGCTCAACCTCGGGACTTACTTTTTTCGATGCTGACCCATCTGATAGAGACAGTTTGCCTTGAAGTTGACAAAGTCGTGCTGGTGCTGGGTCATATTAGGGCCACGTGAGCTAGTCATCGCCATCTTGTTTGGCCGGTTGAGGATGTACTTTGAGTAAAAGAGAAACTGCAGAGAAAAAGAAAATTGTTCCTTATGCATTTGATATAACCATTCAGCGCAATTATCTCTTACGAATAAACTCGATCCACAGCACCGATTTGGGTACTCGTAGATCTCCTTCTTATCAGTCAGCTGAATGAACTTTCGCGGCAGCTTTCGCTCCAGGTCAGTGTGCAGGTCGACCTGCATCGTCAGCCGCTTCAGCTGGGCGTCCTTCCGAACGGTGTCAATGTCGCCGACGGCCAATCCGATAAGGAGATTCATCAGCAGAATTGGCATCAAGATGATGAAGATGACGAGAAAGAGGAGCGAGGTGAAGAGCTGCCAGCGTTCAATCTCCGCCGCCGCCGTGCCCGCTCCACTTCTTCGCCGGGTCTCACCCGTCTGGTCGTCCACCACGCCAGCGGCACTGCGAAAGAGTATCGGCTGGAGGAAGGTGTTGATGAAGTCCACCTCGCCGAGCATCATCGTCCCGACGCGAATCATCGCCAGAATCGGCCGACTGAAGCCCTTGCCCGAGCGGAGCAGGTCAAACTTGGCGAAGAGAATGTAGAAGCTGAGGCCGAAGGCGATGATCAGCACCGAGAAGAGGAAGATGACCTTGATGAGGGTGGAGAGAATCTCGAGGAACATCACCACGTAGATGCCGCCGCGGTTGAAGCGCTGCAGATAGAAGAGCAGGTTGAACCAGGCGATGAAGACCGAAACGGCCGTGCTGATGTACAGGTAGCTGTCGTGAATGTTGAAGAAGAGAAAGGAGAGGGACATGATGCCGCTGGAGAGGTAGAGCAGCCACTCGAAGATGTTGATGAACTCGTAGAAGTAGCGCAGGCGCTGGTAGAGGAAGCAGGCAGATTAAAAGCTAGATAACACAAACAACTTCACACTCTCACCTGGTGGTAAATCTGGTAGAACTCCTTGAGAATGTTCAGCACCACCAGAAGCAGAATAGCCCAGCTGAGCAGGGTGACATTCCTCGCCTCGCGCTGACTCTCGCTGTTGTCGTTGACCAGATTCTGAATGAAGCTGCTCTGGTTGCCCGCCACCTTCCCTCCGAGGCGAGGCTGCGAGGCGTGCGCCACGTCGATCACCTTCAGCCCGTTGAGGGTGATCAGCGAGAGGAAGAGCAGGTAGAAGGACATGTTCAGCACGTGGAAGTACATGCCGTAGGAGTTCCACTTTGCCTGCAGGTACTTGACGCACAGCGGATGGGAGAGGAGGTCCTCGCGACCGTAGCAGATCATCAGCTGAAACAGTGGGAGGTGTTTTAGAAAGGGTTTGAATTAGAAAACAATAACCATAAAAAACACACACACACACTTACATTGAGAATCGGCAGCGGCTGATCACTGCTGGAGGAGGAGGAGGAGGAGGAGGAGGAGGAGGCGGTGCCCGCCGACGACCGATCCTTACCCTGCAGCAGATGGCGAAAGTTGTACTTGATCCAGTAGCCGGGTGAGTCCTCGCTCTCATTCGACCGCTCAATGCCCCTGTCCAGAAGGGTCTGCCCGCCAGATTTAGAAGGTGACATTAACTTTCAACAAACATTACAGCTCAAACTTCTAAACACACTAAACACACTGAATTACTTTACCTTGACCACGTCAGGCATGTTGGCAATCAGCCCCTCCACCAGAGAGCTGTACTTCTTAATTCTCGACCTCATGATCTCCTCTCCTCTGCAAGATAAAAAGGCAGCATTTCGGTCAAACAGAGTAACGTACTCCCACCACCACTCACCTCTTCGCGTGCATCACCATCACCTTGGCCACCTCGGCGTTGCGGTTGATGATCGCGTAGTCAATGGGCGTGTAGCCCTCATTGTTGGCTAGGAGGCGGCAGTCGAGGGTGAGCAGCGTCGCCGCCACCGCCGGCCAGTTGTTGAGGGCGGCCAGCGTCAGCGAGCAGTTCCCATCCTTGTCCGTCTGGTCGAGCAGGTGGGAGTGCACGAGGAGGATGGCCGTCACCGTCTGCAGGTGGCCGCCAATGGAGGCGAGGTGGAGCGGCGTGCGGCCCTTGTGGTCGCGGTGCAGCAGGGCGCCCTTCAGCAGCAGCAGCTGGACGATCTTCGAATGGCCATTGGCGGCGGCGATGTGCAGCGGCGTCGCCCCGTCGCCGTCCATCTCGTTGATGATCAGGTGGCCCTTGTGGCTTTCCAGCAGGTGGCGGGCGGTGTGCAGGCGGCCGTAGCGGGCGGCAAAGTGCAGCGGGCTCTTGTTGTCGTTGTCTTTTAGGTTAATGACGGCGCCCATCTGCAGCAGCGACTGAATTGTCTTGAACTGGCCGTCGCGGGAGGCGTAGTGCAGTGGCGTGCCTGGTGGACACAAAAAGGGAAAGTTTTGTACAAAATTTTTCAGAAAAGTCTGGCAGCTTACAGCCCAGGAGGTCTCGGTCATTGAGCAGCGCGTCCACCGGCTCCCCCTCCACCCTGGTGGCGATCAGCTGGGTGAACTTGTCCAGCTCGCCGCCGCTCAGCACAATGTGGTGGAAGATGTTGCGGGAGTTGTTGTCGCGCAGCGACACGTTGGAGCCGAGCTCAATCAGCGCCAGCACCGAGCGCCAGGCGGCCCGGGCGCCGGCGAGCAGCAGCGGCGAGCGGCCCTCCTTGTCCACCAGACTGGTGTTGGCGCCCTGGTGGAGGAAAAAAGAGGTATAGAAGGTAAAAAAACTCGCCCACAAAAAACCCCCATATTTTCCCATTTACCTCCTTGACGAGAAAGCGCACCAGCTCCTCGTGGTCAAAGGCACAGGCGCAGTGCAGGGGGCTGAAGGCCTGCGCGTCGCAGATCGCCAGACAGGCGGCCTTCTCCTGCGGCTGGGCGGCGAACATCAGCCGGATGATCTCAATCGCCCCCTGGCTGGCGGCCAGGTGCACCGGCGTGCTCAGGTCGTGCTGCTGAGTGCTCAACACCGCGCCGGAGTTCAGACAGAGGGCCACCGCCTTGATGTCCCCCGAGTGGACGGCGCTGTGCAGCGGGACGTTGCCCTCGGCGTCGTAGAACTTCATCATCGACTCGCGCCGGATGCCGATGTTCTCGCCCCACTCGAGGATGGCCTCCAGCGCCTTGGCGCTGGCGTTCTTCGCCGCCTCGTGGATGGCGTAGGAGCCGTTGTTGCAGGGCGTCTTCGGGCAGCAGTTGAAGTTTTGGAGCTGAAAAGAGGAGAGGAAGTTTGAGGAAGTTTGGGGAAATTAAAAGATTTCGAGATAAAAAACATTCTCTCATTCAGCTGTACCAGTATGCGGACGCACTCGTCGTGGTCAGTGATGGCGGCAAAGTGAAGTGCACTGCGGCCGTGTTTTCCCCTCAGCATCACATTGACCCGCTCCTTGCACTTGACCATCTCCCGGAGGATGGCCACCTGGTTGCTGATCACCGCCACGTGAATCGGCCCGTTCATCTCGCCGTTGAGGATGTTCGTGTCGGCGCCACTCTCGATCAGAAAGGAGAGACACTCCACGGCGGCGTTCATCACCGCGTGGTGCAGCGCAGTGTCGCCATTGATGTCCTGGGCGTTGATTTCTGGGCAATAAAAAAAAAGTAGTTTTTTACATGTCCAAAAACAACCTCAAAAAGACCTACCATCATCATGCTCCACTATGAAGCGCAGAATGTCAATGTTGTTCTTGGCAGTGGCGTAGTGAATTGCTGGGGAGGGGAAAAAGCCGCATTCAAAAAGATGTTACTGTAAGAATACTTCTTTTTTAGTAGTAGAAAACACAGCATTTACTCACCTCTTTTGCCGTACTTGTCGGTAAACTTGAGCCGCGCATTGTTCTGCCGGTACAGCTTGATGAAGACCTCCAGATTGCCCGCCTCGGCCGCCTTGAGAATGCGATAGGGACTCTGCTTGATGGAGCACACCTGACTGTCCACTGGCTGCACCTCAACGTAGCCGCCGCCACCGCTGAAACTTCCGCTGCTGTGGTGCTGCTCCGCCAGCAGTGACTTGTAGCCGGACTCGAAGTCGGCCAGGTGGTTGGCCAGCTGTTGTTGTTGTTGTGGATGATAATTATGGTGGTGACCGCCATTGATGGTCGTTGTCTGAAGCTGGTGCTGGTGCTGCTGCTTTCCACCTCGCACCTTCCACTTCAAGGTCGCATTTACGAGCTTGGCCGTGTTGTTCATCTTACTGCTCATTTGAGTAGTCATCACATCGAACAGTGAGACGTCCTCATCCACCGCCGATTGAAAGGCAAATAAAGTGCGCCGATGGGGAAGGAGAGAGGACAGAGGAGAAGTATCGGCAATTCTGTTCTCCCTCTTTCACCGGTCTCTACCGGTGTGCCATTTTGCGGCAGCATTTCCACCATTGTGTTCCCAACAGCCAGGGAGGGAACAAGTGCTCTCGCTCTTTAGTGCACTTGTGTGTACTTTAGTGGTGAGAGAGTGCTAATGCATTTGATGATGGTGTTGATGATGATGTTGTTGTGTACTGCCATCAACTGCGGGAAGCCATAAAACCTCCGGCCCGCTGGAAAAAAGAAGAGATGGAACACACGGCAGTGTGTCAGTATTGACAACACACACACACACAGTCACTTCCCACTGGCCAGACAGGAGAGAAAAAGAGAGAAAACTAAAACCAGCTCACTTGGCTCACTTTGCCAACTTCGTTCAATTAGTATCAATCATCGGAAAGTTAATTAAGTCTACTCGAACGACATCTTTACCACCGCTGCTTCGGAGAGGATGTGCTCCAACAGTTTATCAAGCAATTAGTGTAATGTAAAGGCGACAACAACAACAAGTGACGCAATGCTATTGACAACAGCAGCAGGTGATTCCACTGAACAGAATACGGTGGAGTCACCAGTAGGCATACAAGTAGCCATCACCCACAAAGAATTGCTTCATTTTTCCTTCCTTTCTTTTTATTATTCTTTGTTGAAGCAGCAGAAAGCACTCACTTGTTTGTCTTCCCATTTGCATAAATATAAAACAAAAGAAGTAAAAGTCATATGACGTTGGGCACAAAGTAATGCCCTGCCAACGACAATTGCGATTACACTAGTAATAGAACTACTCCTAGCAAACCTACTCTTTACTGAAGGTACGTGACAGGAGCCAGACAGCGAGGGGCGGTGAAAAAAGTACAAAGACAAATAAACAAACAAAAATAATTTACAAGAGAATATTTTGTTTCCTATCGAAACGTGTGCTACCACTAACCTGATCTAGTTGTAGATTCCTAGCGACTGCACGGTGACCACGTCGGCCAGCACCTCTTTGATGTCCTCGGCGGCGGACTTCGGCTCGCTCAGCCACACCTGATTGCGCCGAGTCTCGTCGTTCGCCTTGGTGCTGTTCAGCTGAAAGAGCACACAGCCGACCTTGTAGTCGACCTGGTTGCTGTAGATGCAGCTCACGGTGATGGGCCGCTCCAGGGTGATCGCCTCCAGGTCGTCCTCCGTTCCCGCTTGGTGCTTCGCCTGTTGCAGAGCAAAACCGTAGCAGAACATGATCGCCCTGCCCTGGCAGTTGGCGTCGGGCAGGCGGCGAACATCCTGGTGGGAGAGGAAGATGTTCTGCACGGTGGAGTGCCGCGGCAGCACAAAGTCGAGGTGGTCGGTGGTCGAAGGGTAGAAGTGGCGACTGTCGAAGGCGATCTCCCAGGAGAGCGGGTGAATGGACTGCAGCGGGCGGTTGGCGGTGTTCTGCGCGTAGTTGGCGTCAAACGCGGGCGATGCGGCCTGCACTGCTTTGGAGAGGTTCTCCTTCGTCGCTGAAGAAGAAGAAGAAGAAGAAGAAGACACCGGCGAGAGGACGGTGATAAAGTCGCACTCCAGGTCGAGGAGGGCCAGTTTGCCCTCGGCGCGGTTCAGCGGCAGGACGCAGTGCGGACTGGAGACCTTCTGGCGAAGGAGGTCGCCACTGACGCTTCCACCGTACCTCATGGCCATCCACGTGCAGCTCATGTCGTAGAGCGAGTGGAGAAGGTGGTTCTCCTTGCGGCCCTCAGTCACGCCCCACACTCGCGGCGGGTGCTGGTCCAGGTAGGGAAACTGCCGGCCGGTGGGCAGCTTTCGCAGGGCACTGTCGCCGCTGAGGCACCAGCTGATGCGCCGCCGGGCGTAGTCGGCAAAGGCATCGTCAATCTGGGCGCCGTCGCGAAGCTTCTGCACGCGTTCGGGCAGGCCACCACCTTCGAGGACGGCGTTGGCAAAGTGGAGCGGCAGGTTAATTGGCTCCAGGAGGCGCTTGTTGCGGTGAAAGACGAAGGCCGCCTGGGCCCGGTAGCTCGGATCATCCTCCGACCCTGTGGGAAAAAAATTCAAGCATTTTGTTTAAAGGTTCGGATTTTAGATGATCAGCCTCCCCCCCCCCCCCCCCCCCCNTCCGGTCGGTCTGCGAACTCCTTGTTAAACTCCGTCCTCACGTAGACATTCGGGTCGATGGGCGTCGCGCCGGGCGGCAGCGTCTGCTCGATCACGTCCAACGTCCGACGGCGCTTCGAGTTCCACTGTCTTCGGTAGTAGAAGTTGTCCGTGTTCTTTCTCGGCTTGTTGCCCCAGCCCTTTCCCCACCAGAAGGTCTTCGCGTGCTGAAGAGGTATTGTGAGCCGCATTGTTTTTTTCCTATCTGATCGGGGATTTTGATTGAATTGATCTCTTCGGCACTAACAAAAAGTTGTCTGCAAAAAGTCCAAACAAATCACATGTTTTTCCCACACACACACTACAATCGTATCGCGATAGAGCGCAACACACTATCGAACCATCGCCGTGTTTGCATCAAAACCAGAAAAAAACTATTTTTTTTATAAAAGTTTTAATTTCTAAAACATAGAGAATGATGACAAGAAAGCGTTAAAGTGTGTTTGTTAAAGATAGAGAAAAAAAGATAGGGAAGAGGACCTAGGAGATCGAAACTGATTCTCACAGACGTTGATTTGGTGGTGACAGCGGTAGCGGGATTGTCGTTTACATGACTAGGCCAAGATCAGAGTGAGTGCTTGACCAACAAGGAGGGTAAATTGTATAGAATAGAAATAAATAAATAAAAGGAAAATGTAAACGTAAAGTCAAGTACAAAAGGTGTGGCAAGGATAAACGGTGATAATGGCAACTTTGGGAAAGACTTCCACCACTACCTGTCGCCACCATAGGAGTCCTCCTCGTCGTGGTGGTACGCTGACGAGTCATTGCTGGTATCATCCTTCGGATCGTGGTGGGCCGACTCCTTCGTCGCCTCGCTTGACTTCTCATTGCGCATAGTGAACTCCCGGTACTTGATCAGGTACATCTTCAGCGGCTCAATATAATTGTCAAAGCCAAGTGTGGCCATGGCGAAGAGAATGTCCTCGCCGTTGATCGTCTTTCTCTTCTCCTGCTTGCACCGGTCGCTCGCCTCGCTGGTGATGAAGCTGACGAACTCGCTGACACACTCCTGGACGCACTCTTTGGCCTCCTTGGCGATCTTCCCCGTGGTGGGAATGCTTCGCTTCATGATGCGCGAGATGTTGGCGATGGGCAGGAAGCGGTCCTGCTCGCGCAGCACCTCCGTCGGCCGATTGTCATTATCGCCACTGTCGTACTGGTCACTGGACTGGTTGTGGTGGTAGTTGTCCACGATCGTCAGACTGCTGGAGTCGTCGCCGTTGGAGTTTTCGCCCTGCTGAAACATCTTCCTGGCAGTGAGACAAGTTGCTGAGACTTGGCTGGCCAAACAATAACAGTGTGTTGCGTCAGAGGCACAACAACACACAGCAGCACGGTGATGTGAGGTAGTATGGGGGGTGATTCGGCGGTGAATTCACTGATTTGCCTTTGATGCAGGCGAAGGTGGGCGGTCTCCGGTGGTATGGCGGCGACCTTGTCCCGGAGCACCACTGTTGGCCGGGGTGAAGTTGCGAAGAATCGGCGCCAATCGCGTTGAATCGAGGATACGACGGCGGATTGCAATCCAATTGGAGGACAAAAGCGGCCGAGAGCCAATCAGCGAAGTGAGCGAGCTGTCGCTCACTCTTCGCTCACTCTTCTTCCTGGCGTCACCTACTCTCCGGACTGCCCCGCGAAGCTCTGCTGCAGTCACATGTTTTGGGGACTTGAAAAACATTGACTGATTTTGTTTGTGATTGAAGGTTTTCAACTCTCAACAAAACCGAAATCTTCTCTCCGCCATCAATGAATCACCGAAGCCGACTGATATCGCCCTTTCTGGCGCACAGGAGGAGGGTGCTTGGAGAAGGAGGGGCAGGCACGGTCCAGCAGAAGCTGCTTCAGAAGGCAGCGGCAGAAACGCCTGTACAAACGGCACCGAAGCGCTTCTACCGATTCGGACATCGAGTGAACGTCGGCGGGTACTTCGTCTCGCCCAAGTGGTTCGACCAGGAGCTCCTCCTGAAGGAAGACGTCAAACTGTCGGCCGCGTGTCTTCAGCGGCCTGATGGGGTGGTCAGCCAGGCGAATCGCCTCTTCAACGAAGAACAGGAGCGGCAAAGGGCGCTGGTGAGCCGCATTGAGAAGATTGAAGTCATCCTGGAGAAGCCCTTTCCCACACACGATGATGTCGTCCTGATGATGAATCGCAGCATTTCGACGCCGTACGACTGTGCAGCGCACATCAGTGAGCTTCTGCGGAATCGGTCGGCCTTGGCGGTGGTCGATGGAACGAAGAGCTGGCACATGCACCAGCCTCTGGAGAACTCCTGTCACCTGAGGCTACTGCACTTCAAGCACGACGACCCGATGCCGGTCAACTACGCCTTCTGGCGAAGCTGCTCCATGCTGCTGGCCAGCGTGGTCAAGAGGGCCTTCAAGGAGGAGCACCCGGTGGCCATTCTCTCGCCGCCCATGTCCGACCTGGCGGGCGGCAGCTTCGTGGTGGACGCCAGCATCGCCAGTCTGCCCGACACCTGGACGCCCACCACCGAGGAGCTGCGCTCCTTCACCTCGCTGCTCTGGGACGAGGTGACCGCCAACCGCCACTTTGAGCGACTTCAGGTGAGCGCCGACACCGCCCGAAAGCTCTTCGCCGGCGACGCCAAGCGGTTGGCGCAGATCGGCGAAGCATCCTCCTCATCTGACACCACCACCTTCACCGTGTACCGCGTCGGCGACCACATTGAGCTCTGCGAGGAGGCGCTGATCGCCAGCACCGGCCTCATCGGCTCCATCTTCACCAGCGCCGTCCACCGGATCAGCACTCCGAACGGCGGGACGTTCTACCGCTTCCAGGGCGTAGCTCTGCCTCGCCAGCTGCACATCAACGCCTACGCCTTCTCGCTGATTCGCGACCGCGCCAAGCAGCTCAACTCCGTCGGCCTCAGCTGAAACTTTCTCTCTCTTAGTCTTGTGAATAATTATTTGTAATCCTTCTTGTTGAAACCCTTCCTTCCTTTGTATGTAGCCATCAGTGAATGAATTCGCCTTTGCCGGCTTCCAATCCTCTGTGCCAGTCAATAAATAAATTACGTACGTACTTTACTGTTGGGCAATCTCACTTTTTATGATTCACATCACTCTTGTGTTGTTTACAGTTATAAATTTTTTTCTTTAGTATTTTTTCCATCTTCTCCTTTTTCCAAATAACGGTTTCCACTGCCACACTATCCACTCTCTCTCTATCTATCTGGTTTGTGATGTCTCATTAAAAACTGCAGTCGACCATTGTTGCGTCCATTAGTCATGGTGACTGCTGTCGTGTTTGCTGGCCAATGTACAAACAAGAAAAAAAGAACAGGTACGACACTTTGCAGAAGAGTGTTTCACTGGATTTGTTATTATAACGTCTGCCTAATCGTCGTAAAACATTTTAATGTCAACTGGAAATTTTGAAGCTAATCGTTTTAGTTACTAACCTCTATCTCACTTTGCAGCAGCAGCAGCCGCAGCAGCAGCAACATCAGCAGCTATGTCGCTTTGTGCAATCAAGTTCGAGGAGATCTTCCCCACCAAATGGAGTCTCTTCATCTTCCTCGCCTACATGATGCTCTTCGTGAATCAGGGTAAGTGATCTTGATCTTTTCAGCAAAGTCAGTGCAACTTCTCATTTGGGCGTTTCCTCCTCCCTCCTTCCCGGTATCCTTCCCAGGCATCCTGGTGAGGTCGAGCCAGTCGGCAGACAACTCCTACAGCTATAACGTGTCCTCCGTGGTCCTGTTCGGCGAACTGCTCAAGCTAGTCATCTGTCTGTTCCTCTACCTGAAGGAGAACACCTCCCTCCGGGCGCTGTTCGCCGACATCCGAGCCGGCTGGCACGTCTGCCTGCTCTACCTGATACCGGCCGCCCTCTACTGCCTCTACAACAACCTCGCCTTCATCAACCTCGCCAACTACGACCCCACCTCCTACTTTATCCTTCTGCAGCTACGAAATGTGATAACCGGAGCTCTCTACCAGCTTATCTTCCACAAGAAACTGACCAGACTGCAGTGGCTCTCTCTGGTGATTCTCACCCTTGGGTGCATCGTCAAGGAGATGGGGCGAAACTCGAAACCCTCATCGGTGGACTCATCGCTTCTCTCCGTGCACCTTTTGCTGATCCTCCTGCAGGTGTTCTGCTCCTGCTTTGCCGGCGTCTACAATGAGTACCTCCTGAAGGACACTGGAGCCTCGGTGAACATTCTCATTCAGAACATTTTCATGTACGTCGACTCGATTCTCTGCAACTTGATCCTCGTCTTTCTCACCACCAGCGGCAGCCAGCTGGACTTTAGCTTCATCACCCAGCCCATTCTTCAGGTGATTCTCATAAATGGAGCTCTGGCAGGCATCACCACCTCCTTCTTCTTGAAGAGTCTCAACTCTATCCTGAAGACGTTTGCCGCCACACTGGAGATCATCATCACGGCCATTCTCTGCTACTTTATCTTCAGTACGCCGATTGATATATTCACCGTCTGCTCCATCTTTCTCATCTTCTTTGCAATACTACTCTATTCACAAGCCCCGGTGAAGACGAGCACTGCGCCAAACGGCAGCAGCAGCAGCAGCATCAACACAGATCTCCTAAAGGAAGCCGACGCCGAGTCCATCAAAGTGCTAATTTCCAAATAAGCTCATCACCTCATCCATTGCTACACACCCTTTTTGATAATCCCTTATGTTGTGCAATAATGATACCATGTACGATACCATTTCCCACCAGAGTTTTTACGCCAGAGTCATTTCTAAGTTGTTCTTTTGATAAAAAAAACTAGGTTTTTGAAGATTAAAAAATTCAAATTTTTTACTGCTGTCTATTTCCACTTGAACAGTTGGGTGCAGTTGTTTGCAGGGTGTCATCAGGCGGTGCAGTGTGTGTTTTGGAAAAAACAAGCACACATTTTCAGCGATTTCATTTGAATCCGACTCCGAATCGCCCGATCCTGGATCCTGGATCCTGAAGCCGTTTCCATCCTCAAATCTGACCGCCGGCCGACTGATGGACGAATCGGACTACTACTACCGTGACATCATCGAAGGCGCCAGCGACGCCGATTCGGTTGACTCAAGGTAATGCCTCCTTCTTTGCTTCAATGCTTTTTTGTTCACTACTCTTGTGCTCTGCACTGTCATTTTCATCTTTTCCTTCACTGCACTTACTTGTGGCAGTTGTTACTTTATCTTATTTTTATTTCCATTTGCCGCCAGCCAGCAGCAGCCAGATTGACCTCCTTTGTTTGTCTGTCTGTCGCCGGCGTCACCGATTCTTTTTTTAGCCGCCTTTACTTGCCGAGTGCATTTGCCTCAGTCATTTTGCCATCGCTTCATTGTGCTCTCGCTGACGTCTCTGATGGCACTCTGGGCACAACACGTGCTGCGTGCATAAACAGCACCACTTTGGGTTTCCTTCCTCTCTTCCAAGGAAACAGTGCATCAGTGCATTTTTTTTGGGCAGCCGCTAGTTGAAGGTGCACCACTCAGGGCACTCTGTACTCTTGTGGCCAAACTGGAGAAACTAACTGAGCGTTAGCTGGGCTAGTTGAGCTNGTGTACTCATGTGGCCAAACTGGAGAAACTAACTGAGCGTTAGCTGGGCTAGTTGAGCTCCTTCTTGAGCGACGGTGAACAACAAGGAGGAAATTGGCGTGCTAATGTGCGACGACCACGGCGACAAGCAGCACCGCCGATCCATCAAGTGTGTCAGTAAGCTGGGCAGTGCTCTGTTTACTGTCTCCCCAAAGCAGAATTCATGTTTGCTAGGCTTCGCACTAGGCTTCTCTCTTCTAGTTTGGCCATTACTTAATTAAATTTTGCCCATCTCATTGTCTCGTGGTCTCGGGCTGTGCTGACACTGTTTATTCTAGAGCACCAGGAACTATTTTGTTGTGTTGTGCTCTCCTAAGCTTTGGCGACCAACTCCCATGACCATGGTTGCTGCTGCCAGTAGTAGTTGTTGTTGTTTTTGTTGACGGCTGCCCCACTTTGGTGTTGCGCCTGGTTCCTCTTCTCTTCTCTTCTCTTCTCTTTTGCAGACCATCAATCGATTCTAGTTCGATTTGTCTTCTTTCTCTAAATTGTAGCAGTGCGCTCAGTATCTCGCTCAATCTTTCTCTTTTTACCTTGTTGTTTGTCTCCCCTAGTATCAACTTTCTAATGTACTAGTTTAATAATTTATAATAATTAAATCTCTCTCGTTCTCCAAATTTGATTGTCTGTCCTTCAATTTGGTGGAGACGGGAGCGGCAGCAGCAGCAGCTTTTGTTTCATCAATGGCCAGGAAACCAGCCAGCCAGCCAGCCAAGCAACCAACAGCAGTCTGCTGTCTTATTGGCAAATTAAGTTTGTCCTTCACAAGCTCATGGACTCTGAGCTTTTAGCGCAATTGCAATCCGTCTGTCAGTGATAATTACCGAGTGCAGCAACGACGACGATATCAGTGCCAATCTGAATTAGGTCTGCGACTGAAGCCTATAATCTGGGTGATCCTTGCTCACTGCAATGCTGGGCTGATCAATGGCGGCGGCGGCGGTGGTGGTGGTAGTACTCGCCAGTGTACGAGAGGCGATTACTTTGTGTGGCAGGCAGTGAGTGCTTGTGAGTGCTCGCTGGTGCCCGAGAGTTGACAGAGAGCGGCGGCGGCAGCGGCGTCCTCAGATCACCAGGCCAACAGCAGCCACTGCAGACACAGATAGACACAGACACACAGTAAACTGCTGCCGACACTGAGCACACATTCGACAGTGACAGGCAGCGAAATGAAGAGCAGTGGAGCGAGAGACGACACTGCTGTGCAGATGATGGGGCTCCTTTTCTTGAGGAGGNGGGGAGGGGGCGACCCAGAAGTGTGTGGTGATTGCCTGCACTGCTGGTGTTGGTGTTGATCTTCTCGGAGGGGTCTCAATTGCGAGAGGTACTCATTTTCTCATTTGAGCCTCCTTCGAAGATCTCTACGTAGCCAAGTTCACACTTGCGCGTCAACACGAACCACAGAGCCTGCTGTGCCCCCAGCAACCACTGGCTGACCCATTATCCTCCTCCTCCTCCTCCTCCTCCTCCTTCTTTCCATTGTCTATTTCTCTCTGTTTGCCTACCCCTGTTAATGGTATTAGCATAATTCCGCCATTACTCGGCACTTGTCTTCTTCTTCTTTGGCCACGGCTACAACGGCACCTTCTTCTTCTTCCGTTGACTCTCTCTCTCTCTCTCTCTCTCACTCACTGCGGTGGCATATTTGTCAATTGACTCCGACTAATTATAATCATATTACCAACACCGCTAATGACACTCAGGCACACACAACCACACACAACCAGAGTGCACGGTGCACCTTTTCTTCTCTTCACTCTATTCTTCATTCGCTCTTTTTTGGGAGTTGGTGTGGCTCTTCTTTCCTTTCTTCTTCTTCTTCTTCAGTATGCTCACCGAGTGCCTGGTGCTTTAGTTGCCGCTGCTGCTTTTCCAACCGCTGCTGCTGCTGNAGTTTTAAAAAAACTTTCAATAATTTTTGTTTTGGGGCCATTCATATACAAAGTCTGCGCTTGCTTTGCAAGGAAACATTTTCAAAGTTTGGTCGCTGCTGCCCACGCTGCCCTCTGGTTTATTAAAACCGGAACTTTATCGGGTAATTTTACCGAGTTTTCAGAATTACAGACGGGAATGTTTTAGACCATTATTTTCAGAAAATTTTTTTTTATTTTTTACAACCATTTGTTTTAAAAATCCGTCCCTACAAAAGTTAACCCTCCCTTGTCAGGCACACACAACCACACAGAGCCAGAGTGCACGGTGCACCTTTTCTTCTCTTCACTCTATTCTTCATTCGCTCTCTTTCGGGAGTTGGTGTGGCTCTTCTTTCCTTTCTTCTTCTTCTTCTTCAGTATGCTCACCGAGTGCCTGGTGCTTTAGTT